CTTTATTGATGTACGCTTCAGTTATCAATAACACTATTGCTATTTTGTGACGCTCGCTACAGTGTACATGGCCTCGTAAATGCGCATCTTTCAAAGTACCGAATGAAAGAATGCAGGTACTTCTGTCCAGAAGCCAAACAACTTTGTTTTAGAGGCCCATATTTATTAGACGCGAATAGATTTTATTGAAAAACAAACCAATATACACACCAAAGCTTTGCTAAATGTCTTCCATAATCTCCAAAGAAATACTATGCGCAACACATATGATAGTAATTTAATTTTTGCGGCTCGGCCGGCGCTCTCCAAGAAGATCGGAGAGTTCGAATTACGATTATAAACCAAATTTCGAAAACCTTGATCCTCTCCCAAACGGCTTTGCGATAGGATGTCCTTTCGCAGAAGGAAAATAATAAGATCAGCAGTCTACTTGGCCGAAAGACCGAGCCGTTCTGGCGAATTGGCGAGGCTTCAGAGCCGGGGCTGCTCATGGTAAACCCACATCCACAAACTCTTCCCCTATTACTAAGAGGTCAGGTCTATTCCGGTCCCATTTGCAATATTGATAACTATCCATAAACAAATCTGCTAATGAAACGCATGAATTACAGCAAAAACAATACAACAACCAAACGTGTGTGTTAATATTGTCTAAACTCACGTTGTAGTAGTGTATGGAGATGGACAACATATGGATGGGAAAGTCTGTTCAATGTGAGTGGGATCCGCAAGCTTGAGTCATAAAATTCTGTCCAAACAAGAACGGCGCAAACCTTAGTATTCATCAGTATCTGGTTGTCCGCTATTTCTTTAAGGGATGCCGCCACGCACCTCTTCTTGCCATTTGCTATACATGACCTCCATTTGGTGCGCCACGGCGGCGGCCCTCTGCTCTAACTGAACTTCCCCCCCACCCCCCATGGCATGGAGCCCAGGTTCCAGCTGAAGCGCGTCTTGAACCTTTGAGATCACATTTAAATTTAGTGCAAGTTAATTCTTCCTAACATAAAAGCAATTTAAAATAAAGGTATTTCAAGTGCCGTTCAAGGTAGAAACGCGAAAATCTGGTTGGCAATGCTCGCGCTTAGTGGCAACATATCGAAAGCACCATGCCTGAAAAGGCCCGTGAGGGGTAATGGACCTTTGATAGGCGCTCGTTGGCGTCTTCCGCGTTCGCAACGAGGTGGTCGTGCTCTAGAACAAGGTGAGAGTAGTTCGTCTCGATGATCTCTTTGGAAGCCTCCACCTCCTGCAAGCGCTGGGAAGTTTTTCGAAGCTCATTCTGCATTTTCGACCTGAGTGCAAAGATGCCAATGCACCCTCAGATCTTATATATAAAATAACATTGAGCCAAAATGTGTTTATTCGACTATATTTCGAATATTTCCATGTGATATTGGAATAAGTTTTCGAATTGCGTTACAAGATGAGAATCTACAAAACGTTGCATCTACAAAATCGCACATCATAGAATGAGTCACCTCCCTTCGCTACGGATAAACGAAAAAAACAATTATCATTAATTTGATAATGAAAATATTCTGTTTAAGCATTTTTTGAAATTGTAAATATCTAAACGGGTCGCCAAATTAAAGATGCATCGATTTTTTTAAGTTGTCTTGATATTTCACATTGCCGAAGTTGCGGCAGTGTACAAGCGTATCCAATATTCATACCGTATTTACCCGGCATTAGTAGGCACCCCCTTTTAGTATCCACCCCCATCTTTGGGGGTCGAAACCACGTTAGTATCCATGACCCGGTGTTAGTATCCACCCCCAAACTTCAACAGAAACGAGCTCAAGAGGGCTCGTTGGACTCGCCTTGTGGAGGGGAAGTTATTTTGCACGTCTTTGCTTGCACAGCACTCATATTGCACGCCTTCGACGTGCAACAGCTGCTGCAAACAGCTCACGTTATAGTGCGATGCACTTGATGGCTGCAAGCTTCACAGCTTAAGCAGCTGATCCGATGGCAAAAGAAGTTTTTTGCTTGTCGAGCGACTGCAGGCCAAGCGTCCATGGCACAATTATGGGCCTGGAGTCAACTGCAGACCTGCAACCAGGGCTTATTCCTGTCGCAATTCTCGCTATCGTGCTCACCTCCGCAGCCATCACGCTGGATCCCGCAGCACTTAGCTGCACAACAACGATTGAAAAGTGCATACGACCACTTCGACTATGCTCACCGTGGCTTTCCAGCCACACACACACGTGCTTGCCCTGCGCTGTGGGATCTCTTTCGACTTTCTTGTCCGTTGGGGGTACTAGATGGTTGTTGTTGGCAGCCCCAAGGAGCGCCTGGTGACACGCTGCATGCCACACGCCCAGCCGCCAGCCCTGGCACTTCTCACAACCGGTCTCCACACACTCGCCGCCAAGATCGCCCAAGCTTTCCTTCAGGTTGACTGGAGGCGCGCGAACCGAACCCCATGGCAGAGCTGCCGTCCACACGAATGCGCTGGCATCTCCCGTCAAATTTGTTGCAAATGTACATTTCATTTGCATCAAATCTGTTCTGCCACGCAACGCCAGTCTGGCGCTGGCGCTCTGTGCGCACTGAGCCGCCGCAACACCAGGCGCCGCCAAGCAGGCGCCTCCCACCAAGTGGATGGGAGGCGAACATGATGAACCGGGCAAGAAAGGCCTTGCCAGAGGAATGTCGAAGGACGGGTGTCAAGAGTGTCAAGTTCAAACGGAGGCAATGGCCAGTGGCGGCAAGGCTTGAGGTGTTGGAAGCTCGGTGCTGCAATGAGGAACTCCCACAAGGCGAGAGAAAGTCAAAGCGGCGGTTTTGTGAGTCAAAGGATTGCAGACCACGCAATTGAATCAATGGCTTGCGTAGAGGGATCGTGCGCTTGGCACTCACTGTGCCTCCAAGCGCATCCGATCTGGCGATTCCCAAGATCGTGGGAAATTTCGACAGATGGAGAAAGATTTGCACGCGTGGATCCTTGATTACGGAGGCAACACGTTGTTGTCACCCGCAGGAGCATTATGAGGGAAGCTTTGCGTTTGGTGCAACTCCCAAAATATGGTTATAGTGAAGTTGATGTCCGGGGATTCAAGGCGGGGCAGTACTGGTGCCAACGATTTATGGTAGGATTTGGCTTGGCACTGAGAAGAAGGGCTTCTTGCCCACAGAAGCTGCCTGCTGACCTTGCACCAAAAGTGGAAGAGTTCCAGGAATACACAAAAAACTATGCCAAGAGGTTGATGTGGGAGATGATCACTTGGACAATATGGACGAAACTCCTGTCTTTTTGGATATGCCCCATGAATTTAGTGTGGATACCAAGGGTGCCCATCATATCAATGTGCGCCCGACAGGGCATCAGAAGAGTTGCGTGAGTGTTGCACTTTGTTGCAGAGCTTCAGGGCGCAAAGCAAAGCCCCTTGTTATTCTCAAGCGGAAGAACAACAAGCTGCCTAGATTGCCAATTGGGGGGAGATGGCCAGCAGGTGTGGAGATTGCATGTCATCAGAAAGGGTGGATGGATGTTGGGGGCATGCGGAAACGGTTCAATCCCTGTTATTTACCTTACCAACACTCCAGGTTGTTCTTCCGTACAGGTCGCACAGTTCTTACAATGGACAGTCTCAAATCGCATTTGGATTTTGAAGTCAAAAAATGTACAGGCAGGCAGGGGCCCACGTTGCGATTGTTCCCAGTGGTTGCGCATCTATGGTGCAACCGTTGGATGTTGGGCTCAACAAAGTGTTCAAGGGTCACTTGCGAGGATATTGGAATGAGTGGATGGCAGATCGAGCCAACCATTCATACACAAATCAAAACAATCTGCGGGAGCCACCTTTGTGGCTGGTGTGTCAGTGGATTGAGAGGGCTTGGGGTGCCATTCAGCCAAGCACTATTCAGAATGATTTTCGCGCATGCAAGCTCATTGCATGTAGTGAAGACGTGTGGCAGAATGCTGTGGATGATATCAGGAATGCACTGCACGAGGTTGAGGATCAGTTGGTGGCAGGACCTGATGATTTGGGAGAGGATTCAGAGGGTGTTGATGAGGATTTTGATGGCTTTGCATTAGATCTGGATGTTGACAGCGATTGATTGTGAATGCGTTTCTGCGTTTTCGGTTGGGATTTTGTGATTTTGACTTGGTGATATGACTGTTGTTGTAGTGCATCTTGCATTTTTTAAAGCCTATTTTGGGGCATTTCACCGCCTATATTACAAAAATTTTCTTGTGTACTCCTTGGATCGGGGGTCTAAACCATGTTAGTATCCATGACCCACTATTAGTATCCACCGCTCAAATTTGGGGTCCAATACACGCCTACTAATACCGGGTAAATACGGTAATACCAAAACGCATGCTGAATATGGCGAGAAATCATTGCATGCTTTCAAAATAGATCGAGGTGCGCTCTTCAAACTCATAATGGAAAATAAAAAAACATCATTCATTGATTCAAGACAACAGTTGCATCTCTGTGCAAGAGCATACTTGCAGCTGCATTCTACTAACAGTTGTGTCTGGATTCACTCTGCAGAAAATGGGTGAGACAGAATGACCGCCAAATGGCGGAATTATTTGTTGATTTATAATGTAACACACAGCTGTTGCACCAAAACCATAGGACATATCTTTGGAATATGCGTCTTATTCGTACTTGAGGTAGGCAACATCTATTTGCATGTGCACGCATGAGCATTTGCACATACTGTAGTATTATGTGAGCTGCTTGCTGCATTGGAGTATATTAACCTTCCCTCCCGTTTATTGCCTCCATCGTCCTCCTAAGCAGCGCATGTTCTCGCTTACTTATACGCCTATTTGCCTCCTATCTCGGGAATCATCGGCAAACTTCACATTTCCATGGGCTCCAAAGACATGAATCGTGGTCCTTTAGCTACTCCAACAATCACATCCTTGCATTCGCGATTTCGACTTCGATTACAGGCACGTGGCGGCCACGCATCCACGACTAATCCCACGCCCCTCCTCTCAATGGATGGGATTTTGAACTCCGCCACACCTTTCCTCCAGCGCCCCCAGGTACTGCTTTACCGCGTACGCGTGCCCCACTTGCTCCCTCTCCAGCGCCCCCTTCACGGAACCGAACTCTCCGCCCATCTTCAGCCGCAGGGCCCTCTCCTCGGCGTGCGACGCCGTCAGCCAGGCCAACGTCTTCTCCATTTCGATGTTATCCTCCCTCGCCTCAGCGAGCGCTTCCTTCGCGCTGAACAGCTGCTGGGCGTTGTCCTCGTGCAGGTGGATCAGAGCCAGGTAGTCCGACTGGGGAAAATTAAATTCCAAATTCCAATGCGAAGCAAAAAAAATGCAAACAAAATAGTGCATAGCTGTGCTGCATCTTTTAGGGAAATGGCATGGCCAACTGCCAGAAAGTGCTGAATATCGCATATTTTTTTCTCGGAGGGAGCTCAAGCTGAATAGGCTAGAATCTGCTCACCGCGTCGTAGAACTGCGTCGCAACAACGCTTTGGGTGAGCCGGGTGCACCCATTCCCACAGCAATTGCAATGGCAAACTACTATGAACTTATTCTTGCAGCCATTTTGCCGCAAAAAATGTGTATGTCATTTTCGCTAGTTGTTTCCGGTGGCATTTTTTTTTGCGAACCAACGGCATTGGCACATAAATGCAAAAGGAAGTTCCTTCATGAAAAGTTGAACCTGTCGCATGGTGCGAGTTACTTCAACAGCATTTCGGGCATATTGGGCATAGTAATAGTGTTAATGTATGCTACTATGTGGCCGTTTCCAAGAAGGAAGCTCTTCAACAGCACCGGCATTGAAGACCCCACTTTGCTCATAATTGACTATGCAGGGCACTGATCATTCTGACATACGTTCATTCGAGGAAGTGATAAATGAGCCAGAAATTATAAAAATGTGTTGTTGAGCTTGTCCTTAGAGTTTTATGCACTACGCGTGTCCAAAGCGCTCACACGTCCTACCCAGAAACAGACTTCATCCCAATCTCTTTTGTTGAAGTGCAGGTACTGTTGCATTCAAGGAATCACAAGTACACATGCTATCAGGCAGAGTTCCCAACTGGGAAATTTGCTCAAATTTGTCAAATGGTTGAAAGAACTTGAGTCCAGCAGCATTTCGCAACTTTACATAGAAGCAAGTTTGAACACCTTCTTGAATAATAAGACTCTATAATAGACATGATATTGGGAAGTCGGAGCAACATTACGCTAGTAAGCACTTTGGCGTCGTGCCAGTTTTGCAAGATTAACTCATCTGAAGCACAAATTGTTTGTGAAAGCATCTAATTGGAAAATACGACCCAGATTCAGGAGCATTTTTAGACCGCCTATTGTTTTCACCTTAAAGGCAGATTTCATGGCCATCTCAGATATTTTGCCGAAGCTCTTCCACACATTCGTCAGAAGCTCCTTGCGGAAGGTGCTGTGGCACAAAAGCTCCTGAAGCCACATCCAAGCGATCGGTTTCAGTACACACGCACTCGCGCACGCACAGCCAGCTGTGCTTTAAAATCGATGCACAGCAAAGAGCATATAAAACAAATCGAAAGAATCCATGAGAGCATAACATGCCACAATGTAGGCAAATGGGCGAAAGATTAAACATTTCAATCAAGTGATCAGGAAATCTGCTGCAGGTGCTGCAGCCATTCCAATTGCAACTCAAATGCAGGAGTCGCGAAATACGGACGACCTCGCGCAAGATATTTCCGTCCGAACGTGAGTAGCATCGATTCTCTCATGTTGTATGTAGCCTCAACACCTCACCGCTATCTCAGAATCAATGTGTTGCTCTATAATCAGCACTTGGTGTCTTCCGTCAGTACTATGCATACATTGTTGAGGGTAGTTTTAACTTGACAACAGAAAATGAAATAACCCAAATGAGCAGTTTCGGGTATTAACGTCTTGTGTTAATGCCTAATGTGCGGTGGAGTCACCAAGCATGTGGTTTGTGCTGGACCCCAAACTTACCTGCAGAAGGTCAAAGAATCCCACTGAATAAACGTACAGCGCCCTGTACAGCCTGTCGATAGTTTCTGCGCTGAGTCCGGCGTGGCACAGATCCTCTCTCCTCAGTCCACACCTACAAAAGGAAGCCTACAGACATTAGGTTGCGCAACACCAATGGCAAAGCTCTGATACCGATTTGCCAAGTCGATTATTCTATAAGGGAGAATGCTTGCTGCATTAGAATTGCGGAATAGAAAGATCTCAATACAGGAATAGGGAAAGGCAGGGTAGAAAAAGGATCTGCAAAACAAACAAGGAAGTAAGAAACTGTGATGACTTCAAGAATTTAGGTACCGGATTCGATTGGGGAAGGTTTCTCCTCAGTTATGCAACTTAATTTATGCAACTTAATTTGACACTCACTAAAATTCCATGTTAAGTACCTAATTGCCGCTGAATGAAAAACTGCATAGAATTAAAACACCAAAATTCCCAGCCAGGTATTTCGAGGATACGGACGGACGTAACTGCATCCGTACGCAAACTTGTGGAATCCTGCAAATTCCGTCTGCAGGGGGCCGATGCCGAAGTAGCAGAGCCGCGGAATTCGCGAATTCCGTCTACAAATTGCTGACGGAATTCTGCGGACGGCAACATATGTTCGCGGAATTTGGCAGACGTATTTCGTCTGCCCACGGACTGACGTGCCAAAACGGACGGACGGATTTCAGCCCCGTGCGTCATTCCGCGGTCCGTCCGTCCGTCCACGAACAAGGGCCAAACTCCCAGAATCCGCGACTTCCGGAATAAGTTCACTCCATGATGCATTCGCAGAAATTTGAGTAACGGGAATCGCGCATGCATGATGCAATTGTCCATCCGCCTTTGAGGGCCTTCTACATCTGAAGCTCAATTTTTACTGTAATTGATTTTACCTGTCAAAATTACAGGCAGGATCACAGAGCAAAACACTACACGATGAGTTGATCAATGAAGTGTATTGGATGAAATGGGCGAATAATGAGACCACCGGTGGGCATTTCGAACATTAATTTGTCTCATATTTTGGGAAAATATTTCGACCAGAGCCGCTGAGCTTTGCGTGGCACCTTGCCAGTCCTTTGAGGCTCGCGCTGCTTCGCTGCAGTGGCTCCGGCTTGACTCCCTCCAGCGGCCTCACGTCCAAAACACCGTCCAGCCAACGTTCCAGAAGATGAACATCCAGCTTGTGGTGCCTCTTGCGCAAGAGATCCTGAGGGTTGAGACAAATGCAGATATGTTTCGAAGCGCCCTTTCGAATTCGCAAAAATTCACTAAACTCATTTCTACAAGCATAAGCACACTTAGTCTCAACCATGATTTCATGTTGAATCATACCCCCACTTACATTCTTGGTGGTGCTTCAATGAAACACACAACTGACGCCGATGTGTAAGTGTGTGCATACACATGAAAAGAAACGATTATTTGTTATGTGCTTCCTCCATCCGGAATTAAATGAAACCTTTTGTTTAACAGACTAGAATTGTAACGCTCACCCATCATTTTCACTTCAAAACTTGGCCAAGGCACCAAATATAGGTACAGCAAGTATTGTTAAATTTTTGTGCACAACGGATAATTACCGGCCACGTGGCAGATCTGTGAACACTTGCCAATCTGGCCAAAAATATGAAAGTTGTCAAGGTCCCGCTGGACCCGCCCAAATTGGCGCCTCAGAGGAGGCCTCTCTCCGCGGCTCCCACGGAGCCAAAAGAGCAGAGGTCGAGACGCCACTCAGAATGAACGTTGCTGCGGCTGTCCTAAAGCTGCAAAGCGGCCAAGATCGAGCTGCGTACCGTTCGATCGTCTATGCGACCGATAGATTCGGGACTAGTAGGACAACAGTTTGGCACATGGCGCGGGAGCTCCGTCAATAAACGAAGCAAGGGTACGGCATCGACCTCAGCCAGCAATGGAAGAGGCACTGCAGGAGGAAAACGAAGCCCTCGGAAGAGTTGCAGAAGAGATTAGTACAGTTCCACAGTACCAACGGTCATCTGTCCGACGGGTCGCACAATTGACGGATTCAAGCAAGACGACCATTCATGAAAAAGATTGCAATGAAAGAAAGCCATGAGGTGTGCCTTGTGGATCAAGCCCAGCCTAATAGCCGAGAAGGAGTTGCAAAGATTGCGTTTTGTGATCAATCGGGTCCAGCCGGAGGGGAGACAATTTGTGTTTGACCCGTGCACCCATTGGATTCACATAGAGGAAAAGTGCTTTGATGCCCGATCTGACGGGCGGCGTGGGTGGTTGTTGCAAAACGAAGCCAAGCAAGGGTCTCCAACAGCAAAGATCAAGGGGTTCATACCCAAAATAATGTTTCTAGCGGCTGTTGGCCGGCCGCACAAACGATATGATGGGACGGTGTGTGACAGCCTGTTGGGCATGTGGCCAGTCATCACCACCAGATGCGTGCAAAGATCGTCCAGGGGTCGAGCGGCCGGCGATCAAATCCTCCAGCCCATCGACATGGATGCCGGGGCCTTCCTGCAGCTTGTGAAAACAAGCGTTTTTCCTGCAATAAGGGCTGCCTGTCGGCACGCCAAGACCACTATCGTGATTCAGATCGACGGGATCAAGCCTCACGTTGCAAAAGGCATACAAGGGGAGCTTCAAGCACTACGCTTGAAGGATGGCTTTACAATCAAGATCCTCCCCCCCCCCCTCCCAAGCCCAGATCTAAATATATTAGATCTTGGGCCGTTTCATAGCCTCCAGCGACGGGCAGAGGAAGTCAAACCCAGGGCCGACCTGGGCAGCATCATGGCTGCCGCCAATTTTGCCTTCGCCTCGTATGATCCCGAGCAGCTTGAGCATGTGTGGCGTGCTCTTTTCAGTGTCCAAGGGAGCGTGCTTGAGCACGAAGGAGGCAACGACTTCGGGGTCTCACACGAAGGCGCCAGGAGGGCGGGGTGGACAGAGACGATGGGGGGGGGGGGCGTAGTACGTGAACCTCCAATTTCTGGGAAAATGGCGGAGCATCTTGGATGCTTGTGAAATGGAATAAATGACTGCATTTGTTTCGGACAAAAATTGCTCTTAAGGGTTTGGACCTAATATTTTCAAGGGAAATATAGCACAAAGCAATGAGTGTTGCATGAGCTTCTGAGCATGCATTCATGAAATAAAGTGGATTTGCATTGGATCTGTATGCATGGATCAAAATGGCTGCACGTCATTTTGAGATCGCAACACAATACTTTGTGTGTTTTTGGTGAGTGTCATACCATAAAGGTTGATTGAGATACACTGATAGCTCAGCACACGGGTCAGTGGGTCACAGAATTGCTTGATAACGATTGCCATTTGTGATTGATGGGTTGTATTCGATGGGCAAGGTCGTTGATGACTACTGCAATGCAATGAGGTGCATGCAGCGTATTTTTTTGTTAGCAAGATCCGACTTGGTAGGCCCTGACAATTCCGAAAATGGCAGCTTGACCATTGTTTGGATGGTGTTTTTTCACAACTCAGTTGTGAAAACCATCAATATGGCACGGTTTCTACGCTCAAGGGCCATTTTGAGGAATCGGATTTCATTCACGCGGATCGCTGCTTGGTCTCCCCGGCAGTCCCGATTGCCGTGACTCCACTTCACACCCTGATCGCCGTGGCGCCCTCCCAGGGGTCTCCCCTAGTGAGACCGTGATCTGATCTGCCGCCAGACCGGTGCGGCTCTGGTGCCGGTCTGGCAACGCGCCGAATGTACATGGGGTGGTCAGAGGATCCCCTTTTGTCACAGAGGAACCCCTTTTGTCAAGATATCTCAAAAAGGACGCCTTTCTGCCAAGTTCCTACTTTAAAGCTACGAAAAATCAAAAGCAAAATTCGAACTACGACCCTTTTGCGGACTTCACCAATTGGCTATTTCTCAGCTCCAGGTCCAGCCCTTCCATGTACGGCGAACGCCCTCCGCCATAGGCAAAGCCATGCCGAAGGAGGTCTCGCTGTCGATTCCTTTGCGGCTTCCATGAAGTTTCGCCTCTCCTCCAATCGTCGCTGTCTGCGCCCCTCGTGCCTAAGATTTACAATAAAATTCGTAACGCGTCATTGGTACATTCAGCGTTTTGCCATTTTCCAATTCGCTTGCTCTTAAGTTCGTATTCAATACGATTTTGTGCGCTAAATTCAGCTCATTGATTCATTGGCGCATTAGCGTACACATCTGTGCATTGGAATTAATGAATTGCACATCAGTTCAATGCATCAGATGACTGCAATTTGTTTGTGGATCTCTACATTATTATTCACTATCGCGCTTAGTGTACTTCTTTGCAACGCAGATGCAGTGAGTCCCCATAGCCTGAAAAATAAGTTAATTTAACCATGGAACACTGTGGAGAAGTTGTCCCCCCTGACAGTCCCAACATTCCAAAATTTTCTATTGGCAGATAGCTATGCACTTAATACATTTGGATTGTTGCGGCACACGGCATGAAACTCTGCCCACTGACCTACAAACCAGCTAACCGAAACATTTTCCCACTTTATGCAATTACCTGTCGCCATCGTTCATATTACATGAGCGTATGAGAGTAACCAAATAGATTGAGCACATCAGAGCCCCCCCCCCGCCCCGCCCCGGACCCCACCCTTCCAGCAAACTAGGAAAATTGCGCTGGTTTTCCCATGTGCATTCACATAGAGTGGAGCCTATCAACAGTGTAAATCATCATGATCACATGCATTTCCCCATGGTTTTACAACCATGCATTTCATTTTACCACTGCATACTTCACCACTTCCATCACCACAATCGACCATTCAACAAATCCTCACACCAGTGATGCCAATTAACCCACCGAGGCGACTGGATTGCGACGTCCAACATCTTGGTGGCACTGCAGGAGGGCTGGGGTCGGAATCCAGGGGGCCCTGGTCCAGCATCGCACCACAAATGTTATCCGAATGTACTAATTCCACAGTGCGAGAACTCTGCATTCCTAGGAATTCAGAGGCCCTCTGCATTGCAGTGCTGCGATTTAAAATTTTAGTGTCGCTGGAAAGGCGTGAGCCATTGGCCACATGCCGGGGTGCGCCTGTGACACCAGCATTGGTCTCTAACGCGGAGTCCATTGAATTTTGGAGAAGGCAGGGGCAGCGTTTAGGGGAATTGGTGGAGAGACTCACCGGAGCCGTTCAAGCCAAGGCGTTCGGGTACCACACAGCCGGAAGGAGGCACAACAGGCAGGTAAGTTTCGTCTCTCGTGCATAGGAAAACGACGCGACGGGAACCCTTGTGGATCTCACAACGGAGGACAGTGGCACTGCAGCGCCCATGGATAGTACCAGAAGAAAACAGCATGTGAGGGATGCCGACTTCGATGCCGCTTGGACATTCTTTGCCGCCGTGAAAGGAACTTTGACGCCATTGACACCAATGTCGTTGTATTATTCACTGTCAAAATGGCGTCAAAACTTGTATCGCCGAAAGGTATTTCTTTCAGTTTAGACTAACCAACTCCGTGGGGAGAGGCAGCAAGACGAGGCACTGCTCACCTGAGCAGCCACCGTGCCTATTAGGCACGCCCTTTAGGCATATGTGATTGTAACAGAGTGCTCTTCAATCCCAACATTCAATCTCCA